AATTATCCCCGCCTACCCGATATCGACGGTGTCAAGTTCGCCAATGGTTACGAAGCGGCGCGCGTGGATACGTGTAGGCTGCGCAGATCAGATCGTGCTTACACGAATCCCCGCGAGGTATTGGCTTATTTTCGGACAAACCACTATCCAATCATCTAATCACTCCTTGACCCCATACGCCATCGTTCCTGAGCATGCAAGATGCAGTAATAAAAGTAACTCAAAGAGTGGATAAACAACAAGGGAAGCAACATTGATGACTACGCAAAATTCCGACAATGCTCATGAGGGTGTCAAAACGACAAGCAAAGGCAAGGATCAGGCAAAATGACACGCAATCCTACATGATATTCATTCATCCATTCATTGGATCAAACACTCAACAAACGAAATCGAGATCAAACACAAACGCGTGTGAGCGGAAACCCAGTCAAAATTCCAAAAACAAAAGAAAAACAGGCAGATCGCCCTAAATCGATATCAAAATTTATATACAAAAGTCAGGACGGGGAAGAGACAAAGAAAACTGCAAATCCACGTCCATCAACCTCAGCTCCCTTTTCCTCTCTCTCTCTCTCCGATGTGGACAGTCCGTCGTCGCGCACCAACCCACGAAGTCGCCACCCCGCTTAGTCCTCCCGCACCCGTCAGGTTCACCCACGCCCACAGTCCGTCGTGGCCCGCGTCAACCCCGCTCGTTTGGCACCAGCTCGTCGGGTCGCCCGACTCCCACTTCAACTCACCTCTTACTTCACTCGTGAGCCGACCCTCACTGATTGCGCTACCCCGAGCTTCCAACAGCTGGTTAAGAGAGCTATCTAATCGCGCAGCCAGAATTTATAGTGTGCATGCATGCGCGAAGAACACGGAATTGCAAGGACTTAGAAAGGAGACCAAGAGAGGGAGTGCCTACGTTCTGCATGGCCAGATCGCGGCGTGGGGGACGTTGCCTTTCTCCACGCATCGATCCGAGCATGCAGTCCGCGGGCTGGATAGACACAGCAAGAGAAAGCGAGAGCGGGAAAGACGAAGCTCAAGAAGGAAGATATAGTTACAATGGTGCCCACCCAAAATTACAGTTACAGACACGATTAAAGGCGCCGACTAATTAGAGTTCAGTTGCAGTCGCATGAAGACTCGGAAGCAAGTAAACAAAAAGCGTTGTGCGACAAAAGAAAATCCTAATTGCAAAATTCCTAAATTTCTATCCAATGCAGAAAAGCGAAAAGCACAAGTTCCGAAAAGAAAGTCCGAAATTCCGAGAGTCATCGAGGCTCGACAAGATTCCTGCGCGATGTATGCGCGATGTCCGCGCCCAAAAGTCCAAAACCGAAAATGAACGAAGCGAAATTCCTGCGCGATGTCCGCGCCCAAAAGTCCAAAACCGAAACAGAAGAAGCGACGTCAACATTTATTAATAGCGCGCGTGGCGGCGCTCCACTCACACTGCCAATCCATTAATCGATCGTCCCGGGACTCATCCGGGCCTGAATCCATCCATCCAAAAGACGATGAAAAAGGACGAAGAAGCGAGGACATTGATGCAATTTCCCTTCCATCCCAATCTCCCGTAATTGGCCCATCCTTCCCAGCTTAGGACCCCTCATTATCATCGCGCAGAAAGTCGAGCGGAACATAAATCGGTTCGTCACATATGTGACGCCCAGGGGGTTCCAATCTTAAGCAAGTTCCTGCTTCCTTGAATCTTGACACGTGTCGATCTCTCTAATTGATCGACGCGCGGAGCTTTTCGTTGCCACTTACCGTGTGAAAGAGTGTGGACGTCATCCAACGTGGCATGCAAGCTCTGTCCTACAAATTCCTCAAGGGGGGCTCTCGTCATTCCAAGGAGGGGATTATTCGTGCCATCGCCGTGGCACGCACACCAATCAACCGATCATCGATCATCGATCATCAATGTTCAGTGGGGAGGGGAAACGGAAGCTGATACATGGGGGCATGGTGAAGGGGTGGGTTAATCGGGAGCGGGGCTAAGAAACTTTCCACCCTCGCTACCGTTTCTGGAAGCTCCTGGTAACGGACGATTCTATGGAAGAGGGGGAAGCGATTACCACTATGGGGGAGGGAGGCGAGGTAGTCGGGGTACAAGGTGGTGAAGGTGCGGAAGAGTACCGCGCGGAACTGGTCATAGTTTTTGCATGCGGGGATAGTCTCCGTAATCACGCAATAAACTTCGATGATGTTGTGCCCTCGCCACGCGACACTGAGGAGAAGGGCGTGAAGGCAGAAATCGGGGAGGGCTCACCTAGTCGAGGGATGGGGTTGAACAGTAACAACGAGGCGAGTGGCGTAGAAGAATCGGAAGGTATCGACGGGGAAGGGGTTGCGGGGGAAGGTGACACGGGTGGTAATTTGGCGGAGGGTGAGATGGTCAAGGGGACGACGGGATAATGATCGGGGACGAAGCCCAATGGCCCGCATTAGTACGGGCTCGAACTGGTGGACAGTCGGGGGTGGAGGGGGAGGGGGATCGGCTTCGTCGCTGCCTGGCCGGTGCGCTCAAAGTCTCGGCAGCTGGGTCCCCATCCTCGGGCTTGGGTGGCTCCGGATCTCGGGCCGGGTCGTCGGCGATTTGCAGGTTGGCTCCGCTGGCGAATTCCAGTTGTCGCTTTCCGGCCACGATCTCCTCTCTCTTCCGACTAGGCACACTAAAAGATTGACGAAGTGCTCACACCACAACCGCCATTGCCTTGGATCGAGAAGGGGGACAACGAGTGGTTCCAGACAGAAGGAGAAGCGAGGGTGGACACTGGATTGCCAGAAGGTGGGAAAGAGAGATGGGAGAGCAAAAGTGGAGAGTGGGGAACGGTTCATTTGGGACGTTGGAAGGGGACGATTTCGGGAAGCACCACCGCCGGCTCGTGCTGGAGTGCTCGAATCCCACCGAGGTCGATGTCGTCCGTAAGGGCAAGATTGTCCCTGTGGCGCGTGAGCCAGTGGTTCCACTCAGCCACCAATTGCTGGCCCCACTCGCGTAACTTCGTTCGGATGGCAGTATGCCGCAACGCACTGACCGTGCTAATGTCGCCATTGAAGGCGACAACTGTGGACACGTGGCTGATCCCTAGAGCTGACCATTGTTGGACAGTTACTGCCTCTGCCAGCACAACCGCCTGGCGACTGCCCGCGAATCGGAACTCGGCTGCTGCGTATACCCCCTGGGTGCAGAAGAACTGCGCAAGTCGTAGAAGATCCAGATTGAGCCGCGGATGATGAACCTGCCGGATCGCTGAGATGTAGCCTCGTGGCGCGAGCAGATGATCGTTGAGAGCTCGCTCCGTAAGAAAACTCATGGCGAAGGTGGTGGGGACGGAGTATGGGAAGAGGCGGGAGATGCAGGGGAGGAAGAAAGCGATGGAGAGTCGTTGTCTGCTTCCGTAGCCAATGAAGAGGATGAAGGTGCAGGAGATGGGGAAGAAGGGAGGAGACGCAGGTAAGACACGTGGCGAACGATCGGCCGTGCCGATCGGCTCCCCGAGACCTCCAGCACGAGGTGCACTGTGTTCACTCCGTTCGGTCCAAGCTCGATCACTCGGAATCGCCCGAAGAATCGTGGCGCTATCTCACCTTGGCGAGCACATTTCCTCACCTGCACCAAGTCCCCTAATTTGTACTGGGGCCGCGGCCCCGCATTCCCGTTCCGGGCCTCATAACTATGGACCTGCCGGCCATGGGCCAACTCGGTCATTTTCTGTCGTTCTGGGGCCAATCGGGGCAGGGGCCGTTCCATCAATTCCATGTGCCGCTTGGTCTTGTCCCAAACCGTGGCCCTGGTGGGCCGTCGGTTCAGCAGAGATTCGTCCGGGAGGCTTGGTATTAAAACGCAGGCCACACTATTGGTCCTCAGTTGAACGGGGTTCAGGCCCATCGATTCGTGGGGCGTCCCTCGATGGACCGCCAGGATGTGATCTACGATATCCGGCCAGAGCCTGGGGTCCCGTGTCGCGATATTGCGTCGTAGCGCAGTCTTTATCACCCTATTTGCGTTTTTTACCAGCCCGTTAGATTGCGACATGTGGGGCGCAGTGTTCCGAATAGCGACGTCGTGTATGGCCAGATTCTTCAAGACTTCTCCCCTGAATTCTACCCCATTGTCGGTCAGAATTTCCCTCCGTATCCTGGTGCATTCTTAAAAACCGACTGACGTATCGTGCAATTTCAGCAGCCTGTCGCGTACGACAGGGATACGCTTCGATCCATGTTGAAAAATGATCCATGAACACCAGTAGGATTGAATACTTACAACTATTAGGTCCAGGAGGCACCATGATATCGGTAGTGTCCATGCTAACCCTTTGAAACGACCGTTCAACTACCGTTGGTACTATCGATCTTGGCGGCTAAATCGGTGCCTTGTCAGCAGAGCAGACCTGATAGTTCGCGACGATGAATTTCACATCGTCACGAATATTGGACCAATACCACTCATTTTTGTCGATTGCCGCCTCCGTGATCCGTACGGCAAAATGGGCCGCCGTTTCTTCATGCGTTGTCTTCACCCAGTCATACCTCATGAACGGGTGCGGCACTACCATCCAAATTCCACTACCATCCGTTTTCCGTTTTTCCAATCGTCCCTCATTCCAGCGGTAGTCCTGAGCTTTTTCATTGCCCCCCCTTCGATCTTCCTTGGTGAAGTCCTGGAGGGGGTTACCCACTAGGGTGACAATCAAAGCGATATCCGTCCATACCTCGGCCCTTCTAAACTTTCGGGTCTTCTCTAACCCTTCTGACGTGGCATTTAAAAAGCGAGCCTCGGTCGGGATCTTATCAACCCGACACAAGGGGCACAACCAAGGCTTATTGTCATTTCGGTATTGGATGCACGAGCCGTGGGCTCGTGCGACACACTGTCGACAGTCTATCCATTCCGCATATCCTTCCCCGCTAGGGCGCATAGAGACCGAATATACGCGAGAAATTGCTTCACAAAAATAACAAAATTTATCGGGCAGGGAGAGGAGAGATGAGGAGGAGAGAGGAGAGATGAGGAGGAGAGAGGAGAGAGAGGAGTTGCAGAATTACCTCCGTCACCAATTGCCACCTGCCTGCTTCTTGCCACGTGGAAGGACTGTCACTTGTCCGTACTTAGGCCCGTTCGTCGATTCCGGTTCCTTCCACGGGATGATCTCTTCCGCCTTAGGCACTTTAGCTGGTCGATGCAGACGTGTCAGTCCGTCCGCGTTGCCATGCCTCTCCGTTTTTCGATGGATGATGTCGAAGTCGTACTCCTATAGGCGCACCGCCCAACGTCCAATCATGCCCGTGTAATTAGAGAGTCTCTTTAGCGCTAACAGGGGCTCATGATCGGTGACAAGGAGGAACTTCTGTCCGTACAGATACGGATGGAAGTGCTGGATTTCCCACACTACTGCGTAACATTCGCTCTGGGGGGCTGAGCCATTCCTTCGCTCGTCTGGTACTCTGTTCGTGACGCATACTCAATGGCATGTTCGCGGCCATCGTTTTCCTTCTACGCTAAAATAGCGGAAATAGCCTCCGGTTGCCAGTCCGTGATGAGAATGAACTGCTTCGAGGGGTCCGGTCGGATCAAAATAGGTGTCGTTGCCAGAGTTTCCTTGAGGGCCACAAAGGCGTGCGCGCACTCCGCGTCCCAACTGAGGGGCTGGTCCTTCCACAGCAGGTTCGTTAGTGGTCGTGCAATCGCGGCGAAGCCCTTGATGAAAGGGCGATAGTATGAGGCTAACCCCAAGAAGGCTCGAACCTGCGTTAGTAATGTGGGAACAAGAGCTTCCTTCACCGCTGCGACCTTCCTTGAGTCAGGCCGCAGCCCTCCACGTGTCACGACGTATCCCAAGAACAAAATTTCCGAAAGGAAAAATTCGCTCTTCTCGAGTGTGATCTTGAATCCAGCGTCTCTCGGAGCACCTAATGTCCACTCGATATGCTGCGCATGGCCGTGATAGGTCTCCGAATAAACCAGGATGTCGTCCATGTACACGATGACGCAGAAGTTGATCATTCCCTGCGTTAACTGTTTCTTGTTGACGAAGTTCTGAAACGTGACGTTCATGGCCCGCTGAAACGTGGCCGGCGCATTGCAAATCCCCATTGGACATCGAACCCACTGCCACGTGCCTTCAAACAATATGAAGGTCGTCTTCGACCGATCTTCTTCCTTAACCAGAATGTGATGGAAGTCATGCCGAATATCAAACTTACTGAAATAATTAGCACACCCAATCGCATCCAGCAATCATCAATCCGGTGGAGGGGATACACATCTTTGATCGTGATGTCATTCTGTTTATGATAATCAATGCATATGCGGATCGATCCGTTCTTTTTCGGTAGCAATACTACCGGGAATGACCATGGTCCAGTGGCGGGTTCAATCCAAACGCTTGCTTCGAATTCTCGAATCCATTCGAGAGCCTTTTTCCGCTCTACCAGGGAAGACCTGTAAGGCTTGCAATGAATCGGGGAATGATTTCCCGTCTGGATCTCGTGCTGTATGACTAACGATAGTCCAATGTCTGTGTCTGTCACACTAATCATTCCTTTGTATTATTTCAGGATGTCTGCGATTAGGTGGTGGATTTCGTTAGGTACGTATCGAGGTACGTGCAATTCGTATGACTCCTCCCATATCCATACATCGATGTGTTTCGTACCTACCCGCTTGGTATTTCCTGGCGGGGGCGTGGAGATGAATGAGTTATCCGATCGCCAGGAGGACACCGTGGCCATCATCTGTGCATCTTGTTCTCTGATGGCCACGTGTTCTTCGGGTGTTACCCCGTCTCGAATGTCTTGCCACGGCACAGGTTTCGTTGCAATCTTGATTCCGAGCCCATTCTCGAGGCGCTCAGGGGGTTCCAAAGAGTTGATCTCGGCCCCCAATCGCAACAATCGAATTTCTTTTGCGGATGTCAACAGAGACTTCGGGAGATCCGTGATATCGCAGTAGTGCCTTTTGTCGTTATATCGGGCGAGAAGAGGGGAGATCCCTTCGTACATGGTTCGAGGGGGCTCCAAAGAATCGACCATCCTTGAAATCTGTACGAGAGGTTCTCCCATAATCATAGCCTGTGTTCTTTGCAAATCTTGGTTAGTCCTACTCATCGTTTTAACATTTGTTCGTTGCACGGGGTACTGGATGCGTTCTTGTGCCATCTCCAGGATTACGGGATCATCATCATCATCACTGCTGTCTGCGTCCTTGGATCTCTGCCTGTTGTCCCAGGTAATCATACAAAGGGTCCCCGTCATCGCGGGAGAAACTCGTGGGGCTATGTTAGCGGTCGTACGAAGGGTCAGTCTCATCGGCACAACATAAGGTTTCCCTCCCGTATTTCGGAGGATAATCGACCGTCTTTCGAAGTCTAGATTGGCTCGCAGCGCTACCAGGGCGGGAAGGCCGAAAAGAACGTCGTAAGTATTGACATCTAATACTACGACATCTCCCAAAGCATGCACCTTCCCTAATCGAAATGCAACATTGGTCATCCGTCCCACCGTTTTAATATTTTCTTTGTCTGCGGAAAAGAGTTGATCTCTTTCTGTTAGCATAATTAAGTCGTTTTTTCTTCCTGCTTTTTCAACTACCCGTAGCAAAATAGCCAAAACAGAGGCTCTCGAATCGATGATGGCATTATATGGAATTCCCCACACCTCAATGTCACATTCCGCGGATTTCCATGGGATAGGTTTAATCCGCAGGAAATTATCATCCTTCTGGATTAGCCCTGTGTGTATGGGATCGGAAGCGCCTGCGGCATTTTCGTATGGCATTGGTCCTTTCGTTTTCGTGTTGGCCGTTCTGGCAAGGCCAAATCGCTTCCGATTTGCTTTGCAGTGCTGCAACATACGTTCGTTAGCTTGTTCTGATATCGAAAGCAGATGACCGATCGGAAGAGGAATCTGATGATCCAATGCTCGGATGATGTTTAAAACATCGATTTCGCCGGTGACGAAGGTGGGTCCTCCCAACTTCATCTCTCCTAGAGAAGGTTGCCACTCCGCCACATCTCGTTGTTCCGGCGCAGGTCTAATCGTACCGATCATCCCGAGCCCCGGGTATCCCAGTGTTACATACTGATCCAAGGGAATAAGCTCAGCAGCCTCCTTCGTGGTAGCTAACATATTTCCTCCACCTTCCATTTCTTCCATCAGTGCTCCTACCCGTCCCGACCCGTTAGCGATTGGTGGCGATTGGTGTCGCAGCTACAGGTGCGGCTCCGACCCATTGTTGCGGAGGCCGGTGGGGGCAATCCCGAGCTAGGTGCCCCGGTTGATGGCATGCATAACAGACGTTCATATTGCCCACGGCCCCTCCGAGAACAGGTGCCGGGGCCAGTCCCTGTTTGATTAGGGCGGTGGGTACCACGATGGGCCGCATGTTTCTCATCATAGCCTCCGGCCGAGCATTATGCTCTCGCTGTTCCTTTTTGCTTTCTTGGATTAGACTAATTAGTGTTTTGGTCAGCTCCAAAATGGCGGTCGATTCATTCGATCGTACGTTCGGCAATGGAATTCCACGGGACAACTGTGAGCTGGTGATACGGGAGAAGGAGGCGGAAGGGAGGGAAGTTGGTAGCGATAACCACGAAGCCGGGGAATATGAAGTAGTGCGAGTTATCTAAAGTGGGAAAATCGAGATACCTCAGATCGCTGGTCGTAGCACAGTGAAACTCCCTATGGCACAATCGATTCTCGTTTAGGCAGGGGAATTCCGAGCGTCTCCGTCTGAGACACTCGCTCACCCAAGGGTTGAAATACTCTGGATCTCACAACGAGTCTGAGTCTCTCCAGTACATCATCTTGTCATCGCGGTGTGATGAAATTCTCCCGCACACACAGATTCGCTTCTTGCTTCAAAAGTAGCCTTGAAAGTTTCGCCAAAAGTTTTTTGACTAAATAAAACAAAACCCACAAAACTAAAAGCTACTAGAATTTCTTCATTATAAAGTAAAATTTGTTTTGAACTTAGCACACTGAATAGTAAAATGCCAAATAAAACGAATTCACGCATTCTGATTTTTCTTTCTTCTTTGTTCAGACTCTACCTAACCGGCAAGGGGGATTTTCCAATGTGATATCGGAATTCCCTTCCGTTTGGGTGCGTAGGGGAACAATTATCCCCGCCTACCCGATATCGACGGTGTCGAGTTCGCCAATGGTTACGAAGCGGCGCGCGTGGATACGTGTAGGCTGCGCAGATCAGATCGCGCTTACACGCATCCCCGCGAGGTATTGGCTTATNAGTTCGCCAATGGTTACGAAGCGGCGCGCGTGGATACGTGTAGGCTGCGCAGATCAGATCGCGCTTACACGCATCCCCGCGAGGTATTGGCTTATTTCCTGACAAACCACTATCCAATCATCTAATCACTCCTTGATCCCATACGCCATCGTTCCTGAGCATGCAAGATGCAGTAACAACAGTAACTCAACAAGGGAAACAGTATTGATGACTACGCAAAATTCCTACTATGCTCATGAGGGTGTCAAAACGACAAGCAAAGGCAAGGATCAGGCAAAATGACACACAATCCGACATGACATTCATTCATCCATTCATTCGACCAAACACTCAACAAATGAAATCGAGATCAAACACAAACGCGTGTGAGCGGAAACCGAGTCAAAATTCCGAAAACAAAAGAAAAACGAGCGGATCGCCCTAAACCGAGATCAAAATTTATATACAAAAGCAAAGACGGGGAAGAGACAAAGAAAACTGCAAATCCACGTCCATCAACCTCAACTCCCTCTTCCTCTCTCTCTCTCTCTCTTCGATGCGGACAGTCCGTCGTCACGCACCAACCCACGAAGTCGTCACCCCGCTTAATCCTCCCGCACCCGTCAGGTTCGCCCACGCCCACAGTTCGTCGTGGCCCGCGTCAACCCCGCGCATTTGGCACCAGCTCGTTGGGTTGTCCGACTCCCACTTCAACTCACCTCTTACTTCGCTCGTGAGCCGACCCTCACTGATCGCGCTACCTCGAGCTTCCAACAACTGGTTAAGAGAGCTATCTAATCGCGCAGCCAGAATTTATAGCGTGCATGCATGCGCGAAGAACACGGAATTGCAAGGACTTAGAAAGGAGACCAGGAGAGGGAGTGCCTACGTTCTGCATGGCCATATCGCGACGTGGGGGACGTAGCCTTTCTCCACGCATCGATCCGAGCATGCAGTCCGCGGGCTGGCTAGACACAGCAAGAGAAAGCGAGAGCGGGAAAGACGAAGGTCAAGAAGGAAGATACGGTTACAATGGCGTCCGCCCAAAATTACAGTTACACACACGATTAAAGGCGCCGACTTCTCAGAGTTCCGTTGCAGCCGCATGAAGAAGCGCGTAAACAAAAAGCGTTGTGCGCCAAAAGAAAATCCTAATTGCAAAATTGCTAAATTTATATCTAATGCACATCGGGGCCCGACAAGATTCGAAAAAGAATTCAAAAAGAAAATTCAAAAAGAACGAAACGAAATTCTTGCGCGATGTCCGCGCCCAAAAGTCCAAAACTGAAACAGAAAAAGCGACGTCAACATTTATTAATAGTGCGCGCGGCGGCGCTCCACTCACACCGTCAATCCATCAATCGATCGTCCCGGGACTCACCAAGGCCTGAATCCATCCATCTGAAAGACGACGAAAAAGGACGAAGAAGCGAGGACATTGATGCAATTTCCCTTCCATCCCAATCTCCCGTAATTGGCCCATCCTTCCCAGCTTAGGACCCCTCATTGTCATCGCGCAGAAAGTCGTGCGGAACAGAAATCGGTTCGTCACAAGCGTCCGAATCCAGTGCAATCAGACGAGCAGAAGAAAATAATTCTGAATTAACCGGGGCCCGTCAGAATAGTGATTTCCCAGCCATTGTTGTACAATTCGCACTGTGTAGCGTCTGGGGCAATGTACTGGCCTGCCGATATCCTTCCTAGCAGGAAGGTCACATGAATGGAGTGCCACAAAGCGCTGCTCCAAGTTGAACACACACACACACACGTGTGGCAGTGTATATTTCCATGTTCTAGAGGTAGATTCATACGATTTTGCTCATCCTATCGATGGAAGTAGCATGGGGCCAGCCGCGAGGTTGGGGACTTACCTGTTTTTTCTCTCTCTCTCTCTCTCTCACACACACACACACACACACACACACACACACACAAAGTGTGGCAGTGTCTATTTCCATATTCTGGGTGAAGATTCATTCCGAGTTTGCTCATCCTATAGATGGAAATACCCTCTGGCTATTCTTACAGCATACTGACACTGGCACCTTTTGGGACAAACTCTGGGACTTGGGGTGACCCACAACATTTAAGCCCTCGCCCCTAACAGCCTCAGCCCCCCTTCCGGGCATGGCAAATAAACCAATCTAGACCCAAACCCGGGCTCCACATCAACAGCGGAAAGCCCCTGGCTGCGCCACCACGCTTGGCGTGGTCTAACAGTGGAACGATGATTTCCTCGGGGATTTTACGCACCCGAGGAGTGTCGAACGAGCCCCTAAAACCCGTTTTTCGGAGGTAACTTGGTACGGACCTTGTTTTCGGGCAATAAGACGGTAGTCAGCCGTAAAAGCCCCGCTGCGTCCGCCCGTGTGGGATCCATTTTTTTTTTTACGGTTCGTGAGGAACCGCCCGATTTGTAAGGAACTTTTTCGATTTTTTGGTAAAAGCTCAATGTGGGATCCGCCACAGGCGTCAGTCGCCGCGCCTCCCAGGCCTTGAGGCTTCGGGTAGGGCCAATTCGTAGGCTAATCCAGCGTTAGCTTCCGCATGCGGAAATTAGCGCGAAATTAGCGCGAAGCTAGCGCGAAATTAGCGCAGAGTTAGCGCTATTCCGAAGGCTCGCGGCCCGCTCGACCACTCCCAACAACGATCATTCTGAACTTTGTTATTGTTTTCGACAGTGGTGTGGCAAGGTCTAAGACGTCAATATAGTGCCATATAGCGTGCAAGGCTCCTTTTTCCTGGCTGGATCCATCCCAGTGAACCGCACCCTTTCCAGCAGGGTTCGAACTCCTGTTCTGTTTACGAACAAGGTAGCTGCACGTGTGTGGGTACCCAACGCAGCCCCAAATCAACAACGATCAGCAGTGCCAACGACCTACCGTCTTCCTCCGAACAAGGCAGCCTCATCAAGACTGTGTCGGACCCGAAACGTCGCTTGTTTACGTTCATGATCAGGGTGCGTTGTATTCGAGGTAAGACGGTCGCAGCAAGCTTCCCTGTCACATGGAGGACGGTCCCGAAAGCAGCGACGGGTACTATCGGGTCTGATTCTCAGCAATTAATCTCTCTCTCTCTCTCTCTCTCTCACACACACACACACACACACAGACACACATGCGGGAAGAGTCAACGTCTCTGTCTGTCTGTCTCTCTCTCTCTCTCACACACACACACGCTGACGCGGGGAGAGTCAATGCACACACTCACACACACGCTGACGCGGGGAGAGTCAACGTCTCTCTGTCTCTCTCTGTGTCTCTCGCTCTCTCACACACACATACACACAGACACGCGCGCGGGGAGAGTAAACGGATGCTTTCTTGCCTTTCTTTTTATCAACGGTGAAAGTCCGAAGTGGCTGAAGAAGAGGGGATGTAGAAAAAAAAGAACAAAAAAACGTGAGGATAGAAATGGAGAAAAACACGAAAGGGAAGCAGATGGGAGCAGAGGAATGATGAATGAAAGGAGGAGGATGTGTCCTTTTTAGGAATTCGAGGGACCTCGTCTCGCTAACTTGCATAGTAAAGCTCAAACGCGCACATTCTCAGCGAGTCAGCTTTTCTTTCAGAGAACTTGCCACGTGGGATGTGCAGGTGGGATGTGCAGGAACTTGCCACGTGTGATGTGCAGGAACTTGCCATGTGGGATGTGCAGGAACTTGCCACGTGGAAATAAGGGAACAAAATGCACGTGACAGTTATTACGTCCGTGTCCTTCCTGGAGCCCACCCTCCTATGTGGCGGTCACCGAGAAGGACACGCTGTAAACTGTGATCTGCCGTGTGTTGCCCTCTTTTCCAGGTGGCATTCATCATTAACCAATGCGATTAATTGGTGAGTTATGCGACGGAAAAAAAAAAAAAAACCTGTGATTTTCCCGCCCTTTTTCTTTTTTCGTTTTCCTTTCGTCAATTTCTCTTTTTCTTCAATTATGCAGGTGTCCCTGCTTTTTGTTTTTCTTCATACACAGTCCT